CACGCACCTTTCTCGTTGTTTGAGATATCTACGGGATACCGATAGTGTCGTGACCGCTACGTTCGCTCGTTTTGTATGCAGGCTTTACGTGTTCCCGGCTCTACATCATCCACGAGTCCATCTGTACACGTACCAGCACTGTTTCCCCTCGCAGTTATCCTATCTCTCGCCCTCTCGCACGAATACACCTGGCAAAAGAGAGGCCTTCTGATCGATTGTCCTTTGCGTACCTTTGTTAATCAGTTCGGGAAAAATCTCGTTCTGGCTCGAATGTTGCCGCTGAACGTCCGTGATAAACTGCGATAGTTATGAATGGAGCTGAAAAAAATGGGAGAAGAAAATATAGTCGGTGCGAGAGATATAGCGAGGTTGTAAATTGATGTACCCACCGATGGCCTCGATTGATGATGAACTGCCACTGTGATGGCGACGTCACTTGTCAGCGGTTTGGTAGAGCTAGTTACTGTTTGTAACTACGGGGATTTCCAGTGAAGTGAAGTAAGTTTCAGTCCCAAATTAGATCCTGAGTTATTATTCGATAATTTAGCGTTGATAAATTCGAGTTGGTACCGTGAATTTCTGCGAAAACTTGAACTTTCCTTAGATCAATCACGTTGATAGTAATGTCTGACGGAAAAAGGATTCAATCCAAATTGACATCGCAGATAAAGACAATACGAGCGAAATTTTAAAGAGTTTTGCTTGAAGTTTGGCTAATTTGCAGTGGTAACGCGAGTTAAATTTAGAAAAAGAAGAGGATATATAATGGCAGGCTTAAAAATGAATATAAAAGGTTGCCGAGCGAATTTAAAAGGTACCCTTTCACAACACAACCAGCAAGGATGTTCGTCCTAAATGCACGTATCACAGAGTCAGGCAATTTCTCTTGGAGCTTATTAGATTTTCTGCCAGGTACGCCTGTACACCTTCGCGTCGTTCTACAATATGGCCACCCTCTAAGGGAAGGGAACTACCCTCTATTGTACCGTATCCTAAATCCGAGACGAAATCTCCTCTTTTCATGGCCGCGTGTGTCCTGGGCGTATCGCGGAAAAATCGCGTCTCTGAGTTCGTTCTTTCTCTACAAAAGAAACACAACTCGATAAAGATACCCATATGTTTATTTGTGCCGCGAAAGCAACCCTCCTCTTTAACTTTCTCTTTGATAAAATTTTCAGACAAGTGGAACTCTCGAGTTCTCGAGACTTTTTGTTAGGCAGATATTATAAATTCATTTTGTAGATAAAATTCACTTTTGTAATTTTTTACAACACATTTTTTGTAACATGTTGATCATTATTCGAATAATCTTCCTTTTACTAATTTTTATTTTGAGATAGTAAATAGTATATTTCTTCGATACCCTCTTCTATTCTTTTTATCTTTGAGAGTCACGAATCATAGCTCTAGATCATGTTAGTTTATAAAGAAAATTTCCAAGAGATCCTGAGGCACGAAGCAACCACACACTACTCCCATATTCTTTCACTATTTTACAATTTCTTTCACTCCATCGAGACAAACTAGCTAGACATTTCCAGGGCACATTCGTTCACCTCACGTCACCACCCAAACCTTTAGTAGCCGTATATTCTCCATTCGTACTCTACTCTCGAGTACTCCGTTCCTCCGCCACTCGAAGTTCAGTCAGCAACCCAAAACATTCACAGCCGACACCCATCTCCGGGTCTGTAACACGAAAATACCCAGTAAAACGAAACAGTAACGTTTACTCCCCTTATATTTCAAGAAACCGACAGAAACGTAGCAAATACTTCCGACCGAATACGAAATCGAGCACGCGAAACACCCCATAACTTCTCACCAATCTTAATCCGCTTCCCCCGGAACGATTCGTCTTCTCGTATACCAGCTTTATACCCCAGAGACTAATTCGAAGAAGTTTGAAATAAGCTTCGGAGAAACGGGCGAGAGAGTGGAGTTATTTTTACGATTCGTTTCGCGCTGTCGTCGCCTCGAGACCAGGATGCATCCTCCTAAATCGCCATCGAGGTGTACTCCAAGCGTGAAGTCGGTCCGTTGAATACGATCGTATCCGAGAGAAGTGCTATTATGTGACGACAATGCAGTAATCAAGCCTGGTCTCTTTGCCTTGGAAAAAAGGATTGCTTCCTTGACTTTGCCCACAGGCCTCGCCATCTTTGCGGCGTCGGCCCTCGAATTCTCCAACGCCTCGTCGGTCTGTTGAACCTCGACGAGCACACTCGAAGAAGGGTGTTAATTGCACGGACAGGGAACTAAGTACGTTAATAGTCGCGTTTCTTAAATGTTAATTGAGTGAACTTAGCGATAGCAGCTCCGTCGATGAAAACGGATTACTTTGGGAAATAGCCTGGTAAATATTGGCAGTTCGAGGCCCCAGAAATGGACCTTGTTACTTCTCACTGGTCAAAATTCGATTATATCGTTATCCTGTGGAACTTGCGATGGTGTGGTGGTTAAAATTTCTTGTTAGTCTATCGGTAGTTGGTAGAACTTGCGAATATGCGTTGATTAACATTCGACTCCGTTATTGTACTGTTAAATTTGGGATTATGTTAATTAAGTTTCGATATATATACATGTATGATGGTTAACATTCTACTCTACAAAGAATTTCGTGAAATTGGGGATTAGGTAGTGCTTGAAATTTTTCTCTACCGCAGCTTGATGACACTTGCGATTACGTGTTGATTAAAATTCGACTTCATCGATATTTGGTGGAACCTGTGACAGGGTGGTGGATAAATTTCGACGTCGTCGTTATTCGGTCAGTTGATCAAATTTAATTGGTTCACGCTTCGAGTGGAGCACCTGAAGTCGAAATTTATTTTAATTGAGTTTAGTTGGCAGATATAATTCATCTCGTATACGTAGCTTGTACATTGACTTATATTATTTTAACACCCTAGTTTCTAATTTGTATAATAAAGTAAAGCATTTGAAATCATCCTTTTGGAAGGGAAACTATGAATATTAAATTCTCACGTTTTCCCTTGTCATTGGTAATTTTGTTAAAATTGTAAACCAAGGTTCGCGATCTTCGGAATTGTCTGATTAAAATTCAAGCGAAGTCGAGAATTTTCAGAATTTAGCGAATCGTACATTCGTGATATTAGGGAATGATACGGGTTGCATGTGCTGTATCGCTGTTTAATGTGTAGTTACCGAGTAAGGAGCACATGTTTGATTTAATTAAAATCGTGGTTGCACTCGGATTAATGTTGAAAGAGGGATGAACTCGTTGCGAAACCGCGAACCACGGAAACTGCGTAGAATGCATAACCGATACCCACGGTCACCACACAAAAGTGTTCTGCAAATTCCTTCACCACTGGTTTACGTTGCATCGTGCGTTAAAAGGAAATAAAAGGCCAAATTCAGACTGCAAAAATATTATTTCTGACATTAAAATTAATGGAACGACGAGTTTATTCCTATTTCAGGAATTATATTAACTACAGGGGAAAATTCTAAATCTTTTAATCTTTTAATTAAAACTTTTTAATAAAATATTGTACGGTAAAAAATGCGGAATAACATTTTTAATAGCGTCGATAATACTAATACTACAAAAAATATATCAATGGAAATTTTTATATTGAATTCTAAAATCACGTGTCGTTGACTTTAAAAGTACAAAATGAAATATAAATTCACGATTACTAAATTAATACTCTAACTACCCTATACTAGCCTATATTAAATTAATTACTAAATTAATACTCTAGGAATATTTAGAATTCGAAAGAAATTGGGAGATTTTTAATTAACTCTTTTGCTATCACTATTTCTCTTCTAAATTAATTCTTCCCCTATTGCTACCGCTTCTGATATGAGAATTGCACGATTTTCGATTTGTCTGGCAAAAATAACGTATACAGAGACGTGTTTCCAATCCGCAAGCAAACTCCCTTCGTGCGTATTTATTCGTAATTAATAGATTGTCACGCATGTTGCTCCAGCGGAATTAACTTCACAGCCGACTGCAAATATTAACGAATGGAATCGTAAAATGTAAATACCCGCGGCACCTGCGGCACAATCACGAAAACCAGAGCGAAGCGCTTCGTCATGCGGATGGCCGATAGGGGGTTGGAAACACTGCGGATGATATATTTGCTTAGAGCGTAGGGGCTGAATTACGGTTCGGTTGCAGGATCTGTATCCGTCGTTGGTCTTGGAAGCGATTTATCGGTAGAAATTCAATACCTGATTGCATCGTCTTGGCCAAATTATTCATACGTAGAAACTCTAAGGTGCGAGTAACTTTATATTCTTCCCACTCCGAACCACCCCATGTATTTCGATATGGGAATATTCGATAAATTTGTTTCATGAATCTTATATATCACCGGTTTCATTCCGTTCTAACAAATTTTCGAATTTCCTCCAATTTCGATAGAAGTTAAAATAAATAAGTTAAATATTTCCATTTATATAAGGATAACAATTAAACGTGAACAGTTGAATGTGAAAAATAATATAAATTAAGAAAGAGTTGAGTTACTTGAGAAAGGGCTAGGAAAAGAAATGTCGTTCCAAAAATTTTCAAGGGATGTTTCATATATTTTGATCATTGTGATACGGAAGTGAGTATTTAGCGTAATTAAAACGAGTGGGTGCATTCTAATTGCTAAAGATGCGCTTGAGATTGAAAGAAGAGTGCATAGATACGCAAGCCTTCAAGTGGGCGTGACCAAATATCTCCTGGGAATATCTAGGTACTTCGCTCGAAGTGGGCGAAAGAGATTCCACGCGGATAAATAGAGTACCTACGAATATTACACTAATTACGCGAGATATGGTAATTAAATAAAGATAATTGTTACACGATAGAAACAAAAATTATTCAGATAAATTTGGAAAAGCCCAATGACTGATCGAGATGAGATTTAAATTAAAGGAGAAAGAAATTTGAGCCACTTTTTTCTCGAAAATAAAATTCCTATATCGTTTAAAAATAACTTAACTTAATTCGTTCTCAAAATTTGTTGCAGACTTAACCGAGAGGGGGACGAAAAAATTCGGCGACGACTGCGTGGTCGATCGCGAATGCGGTTTCACCGGCTCTTACTGCGAACCAAAGAAGAACAAATGTGCGTGCAGGGAGGAATTCGAGGCGACGAACCATATCGACAAATGTGGACACCGTAAGTTAGTATATTTTCAAGTGAGCCGGAGTCCAGGCGCTTCGTAAGTTCGTTCGTCATCGTCGGAATAACATTTAAAGGGAGTAAATAAATAAATAAAAAGACGAGGAGAAATGGAAGGAGACAATGAGAAGAGAAATGGTAAGAACATCGAAGATGAAGATGAAGGCTCGGGAAATGCAGAAACAGAACAAGAAGTCGTTCCAGTCGAGTCACGTCTATGGAAGGGAACCTCTCCCTTTAGTAAGACCGAGTTTTACGATCGGAATGATATGAATGTCCGGGGGGTGGTTGCTTATGGCTTTCTCTGGCGGAATCCAAATGAATGGAGAATTCAGTGGCCCAGATTACGCTGCTTCGGTGTACTCGTTTTTAATTGAATTCCTTTGGAGGAGTGATATGCTGATGACTATCGTTTTAATTTCAGCCCTCTCTCGCGATGCGCCCGAGTCCTCGGGAGTTTTTCTTGAAACGCGACATCGTGGTTAGAGAATGAAATGTCGAGGAAGGAATTCTCCTCCGATTGATCCATGAATATCGAATAGTGAACGTTAACGAAGAAATTTCGACTGCTCGATGAATTATTAGCAAATACAATGGAAGAATTCTAATTGATTAACGAGTAATATTAATTTATGAAAATTAACCAAAAGATTTCAATTATAAGCAGCAAGTATTGACAAAGAAATTCTGATGAACTAATAAATATCAATTAGCGAATATCGATAAATAGATTCCAATTCGTTAATGAAAATCAATTTACATCTATTAACGACGTAATTTCGATTGTCTGATAAATACTAATTATCAGATATTCGTAATTAATCGTCAACGAAAGAACCTCAAATAGAAATAGAATGTACCCAAATAATATTGCTAAACTTCGAACAGACCTATGTACAATATATACATAGATTACGTTAACCAATTTCACGCAACAGCCTTAATTCCCCGTCAGTTTCGAGTTCCTCTGGTACAATAGCTAAAGGAACTCGTGTACGATCCGTAAAACAAGCGAGAAAAAAGGGGACATATTTTGGTTTGGATTAAATCTCGATCGACGTTAAGCCACTCTCCTAATTGCGAGCCTGTGGCCGATATATCCAGGGCAGTGCGGCGAATAATCAGTCGATCGGACTCGCCACATTAACCTCTAGATGTATACGCCATCATCCGCAAACACGCTAAGAGGGCAAATAATTCCTTCTTAGATCGGTCTGCGATCGTCATCGATCTCCAAACTGTCCGATCCAATTGAACTTGAATATTCAAATTGGACACTCAATCCGTGATCTCATAAAACGATATCGGAGTAACCATATAAGTGACCGTATAGGATGATGGACAGCTAACCGTGAGATAGACTAGGGCATCGGGTTATCGCACGACGATTGACTGGCACGTCGATAACGTCTCGCCACAATGCTCGTCATTTTTAGTTACCAACGGTATAGACACTGTCCTCGAGGTAGAGATATTTCACGTACACAGAGCGTTTTACTGTCTGTCCGAGGCAGGGAACGTTCGTCGTAAAAGAAATGGATTTTATTCTCGCTAATTTACAAGTTTATACCGGTTCAACGATGTTCTATAGCCGCCGGGGAGAAACTAGGATAAAACGTTCCGACTTCGAGCACCAAAGGGGTGGATTACTGAGTCTGACCGAGAATCCGACGTGAAACGGTGAAGTTGCAAAGGCGGATCGAACTTGCGAGAACGTTTCATTTTAATAAACATCTTCGTTCTACTATAAATTCAGAATTATAACGAGGTACCGGTCGTCGCAGCATCTGGATATCGGAATATATATACGCAATACATAATACATAAACATAATACCGCGTATTAAATCATTTCTCTTAGTCCAGTTTACTCTCTTCTTACGATACAGATTACCGAACTGTGTCAGCGAGCCTGATAAATATGTAAATAAATTAAAATACTTACCCTCGAAACGGGAACTCGAAACGCTAAACAACCGATCGAATCTTCGAGGAGAATACCTTCCTGATTAGCAGCATGGAGGGTGCCTCAAATTCAGTGCAAATCAGGGAGATTCGTGGCTCAGATTCATCCTGTATTATTGGAGACTTCGAATTTTTCGGAAACCGAGGATGAGGAAAAAAGAAAATAGTTAGAATCTTTTAATTTTCGTCTCACTTCGAGCCACGAGATCTCTCTGACCCTATTCGAACCGCTAATTTTGGATCACTCTGTGCATGGAAAAAAAAAAGGGAGAGAAAAGAGAGAAAAGATGGTATATCGGAAAAGTCTCGACAATTTCGACACGAAACGTCGAGAAAGCAACCACCTCCAGCCAGCACCCTTTGTTGTTCGCTTATACCCCCAGTTTCGAACGCTGCATATTACAAACAGGCAAGATACACGTCGAACGGCTGCTACGTAAACGGAAACGGTGGCTTTTCACGGAGAAAAGCTCTAGGAGTAATATCTCGCGGAATATTCGTCGCGAAGAGAGGCAGAGAGTGTAGGAGCCTGTCGTTAATGGTTTTTGTTTTCAGCGGCGAACGTGAACGAGTCGTGCTTCTTTCACGAGCAATGCGAGGCGAGGGTGAGCCAGACGGAGTGCAGGGACGGCCGCTGCATTTGCATCTTCGAGAAGATCCCGGTTACCCAGCCTGACGGCGTGATTGTGTGCGTCGGTAAGGGCAGAAACAACCCTGGAACTTTCCGCGCCACTTTTTAACGAGATTCCACTCTCGTTCGCTCGCGACAACAAGCAGCCGAGTTCCAAGTTAATGGAATTCCGGCCTAAAATCCCGCGGAGTTCATTAATTCGTCAGCTGTTCTCGCGCGATCAATTAACAGGCGCGAGCTGGTGTACTCGCGTTTCCGGTGACAAAAATTAAAAACGTCGTCGCTTCTGCCGTTCCGCCATTTTTATTTTTATTCGCGTCCTAGGGACGTTACAAACTAAATTAAATTCATGGCGTTGGAAATAATCACCTGATGAAAATTTGGGTGGAACATCGTATGCCTCCGATTTTACCATTTTTATCGTAATTTTGCTTTTCGTCTTTGAAGGTAGGTAAGTATCGTTGAAACGAACATTGGATTAATTATTTTGAATATGACGCAGTCTCTGAGAAAAAAGGATATTAAAAGGGCGACGTCGCTTCTAATATCTTCGCCATTTTACTTGTCCCTCACTTGACGCGTTGTAAATTAAATTAAACCTGTTCGGAGGTTGCTGGAAATTTGGATCATTTCTCTCTTCGTTCGTTTCGATAATGTCGGAGTATCGCTGCAATAAACTTCGAATTAATTACACCGGGTAATGGCGAGGTCTATAAGAATGGCGGATGTTAAATGAAAATTGGCCACGAATGAGTTGATATAGAGGAAGAGATCGTTAGAAGTTATTAAGCGAGTGAAATATGTTTTTCAGCCGAGCAGAAAGAGGAACCCAATCTCCAATATATCGACCCAACGATGATCGGTGTCCTCGTTGGTATGGCCCTCATGTTCATCATCATCTGTGTCGTCCTTAGGCTTTTCAGCAAGTAAGCCATCTATTTGCATATCTTGCACGGTGACTCTCGACTTTACCAATTCTCGTAACGAGACTTTACGACCTACTTCAACCTGGCAGTGATGCCTGAAAATGGGTCCTCGATGTCGCATGTCTAATGCACATTTAATGATTTTTCATTTCGCACCTCGTCGATTTTGTACACAAAATTTAGTCGTATATTATGTATCTGCGTAACCAAATTCTGATTACAGTCCCAATTTATAATTATGAACTTACATTATCACGTGCGTTTAATATTCGAAAATGGCCGCCGTCTGCGATCGACGCAAGATGGCCGCCACGGTGCACGGTATTCAAGCGCAAAATACGAAAAAAAATAAGTAACGCACCATTTTATTTAATAAATTCTTATAAAATTGAAAACCCATAAGAAAATTCCTTAGATAAATACTGATACGTCGTTCTTTACACATATATACATATATTCCTTCGACACGAGGAATTCCAAAGATACACTTGTACTACTTCTACTGCTAAATCAAAACTTCCAATTCCAAGACTTGTATAACTTATTAATAACTTAGAAATCTCCTCTATGAAAAATTTCAATCATTGATATTATTTAACACAAAGGATTTTTCTTTATTCCCATTTGTAACTTGGAAATCATCTGCATGGTTAACGATTGTCTTCTAAGCTCTTAGAAATTTCAACGACGAACCTAACTCGTGTTGCGCCTGTTTCAGGGCTCGCTGGCGCGAGAATCGTACCATCTTCAACACGCCGAACGCCCGCCTGATGAACGTGTCGTTGCTGAGGGAGAATAAACTTCTGCACCCGCAGGAAAGACGCGGTTCGAGGGCCAGCGTACGGGTTCCCTCGAGGCAACCCTCGATGGCCTCCTTACGCGCCCACTCGCCGAACGCCTCGCAAGGTGCGAAACACTCTCAGCACTCACAGCACAGAGTGAGCCGTACGGGTTTTTATTCATTCACTTACTAAGCAAGCAACTTGTTATACAGTGTCCCGTTGAAACGAAGCAAGCGACTCTTTTACGCGCCAGTTTATATCGGGTGTTCGATGGAAATCGAGACGCCCCCGAGTTCGCCTGGTCTCGTTAAAGAAACAAGATAAAGGAAACACATGACGGAACGGATTTACTTTCGCCATATACATGTATCTTTTTCATTTTTCTTCTTTTTCCTTTTATCGCCACATCGACCATTTTTCTTTTTCAACCTCGATTCTTTTCTTTCTCTCTGTTCCGTTCAGTTCCTCGATGGTGGTCCTAGATTTATGGGTTATTACAGGTTAAACGTTTGCCATTGTCGGGCAAATCGTGTTTAAACACGGTTGCAACTACGACCAACTATAGTTAACCTGCTCGTGTACCATCGTAGAGGTGTACCGTGTGTCGCGTGAAATATTCAAGGTAAACATCTGTTCGAGAAATACGCGTGTAGAACCAGTTATTTAGTTGGAGAATCTCGTACGTAATTCACGAGCGAACTGTTAAAAAATGCTACGACCACGTCAGGTGTCTAGAGTATAGCAAGAACCATTATTTTCCTGTCTTAATATTCACGATTACGCGAAGAAAGTTTCCCGACGATTTTCTTTTCGCCATCTTCGTCACTCGCGTTTAGCTGGAACGACTCGTGTGCTGCACTATCCCTCCTTTTATACAATTTTAAAATCGCTCGGCGTGGGAGGAAGGAAGAATCGGTAAACGTTTTGGACGTAATCGTTCTCAGGCTGTCGTTTCGAAGTGAAAGTACCCCGTTTTGTAATTCGCAGCCACGATAATAACGAGAGGGGTGGAATGTTCCTCGAGCTAATCAGCTAGCACCAAAAATAGCCATCTTCCAGTATATCGATTTCCGTAGAACATCCCATATATGTATAATATAGCTACGAGTATATAAAGTAGGCGACTACCTACTCTTGCCTACTCTTCTCTTTACTTTAGAATCCTTCTATCAAGCTCAGAATCCTTCAGATATTCTCGCATGCACAATTGCCTGCAAAAAGAGGGTAGATACTTGTTGGTTACATTCGATTCGAGGGTGCATCGAGATCGATGTGTTAACAATTTGGATGCATCGTTTTCGAACAATCACGCGTGGTCAATGTACCTTCCTGAAGTTTTCCATCGACGACGTGATATAAAATAAAGATCGAAAAAAGTCGTGCACATTTTGTAACTTACGGTGATGACAGTTGAACGTCTTTTATCTATCGATTTCGCGAAATCATGGGACAATTGTTAAGTGAATTGCATCAAAACTCGTAAGTGGAACTCGAACGTGAACGATAAATGCACGATGCGAAAGAGTACGAATTAAAACCTGTCGATAACCCTTTGGCTGGTTAATTGAGGATTAATCGAAACGTCCCTTGAATCAATTAAGAAAACGACATTGGAGAATGAACGAGGGAATGTAGGGTAAAACCGGTCGGCTAATGGATTTCCCTTGTTGGGAAAAAATTTCATGTCAAGATTGTTTGAAATTTTAGCAAAAGAAATTTTGTGTCTATTTCTACCTCAAGGATAATGGTCAAATCTGATATACAAATGGAGCCATTATTTTTATTAAATAGATTATAATTAAACAAATTATTCGTTAGATTGCATCAAGTTGCATTATTTGGTCTATACAACCCATTTTGCTTATTTAATACTAAAACTGTGATGTGCACCTAAATATAGTATACATATATAGAAATAATTCTATATATTCAGTAACTGTAAGAAAATTTCGACTGATTTGATAGTTGCAGCGTTAAAGATATATTTTCTAAGTCGAGTGACTCGTATTTGTGTTTAGTAGACAGACTAAATTCTACACCACGCGTTACTTGGATAGCGCACCTCTTATCTTCGAAAAATAATGATACCCGGTTTCACCCTACTTTCTCCTACGTATAGAAAAGGTCAAGGGGTTAAACGATTTTGAAAAATCGTCGAAGATCGTTACGAACGATATCGAAACTGCCCTTAAAAATCGTCGCGGCAGAACGATGCATCTTAACTGATCATAATCATGTTCCACATTTTTAATGCGATTTGACTCTCTTTGCAGTCGACCATCTATAGCAGTAGTCTGTTTAATGATCCCGTCTGTGACCGTTGTTCTTGATTATCATGTACTGTGGACCTATGAGGTGCTCTATTGTAAAAAACTTTTCAAATTGACGCGTCCTTCGAAGAGGGTAAGTTTCGTATTCTTACGAGTTTTTTATACCTTTTTCTTATAATTTACGGTGTTAATCGTAGCGTATATATATATTATAAACATAAATATATATATATATGTATGTGTATTTTGTACATAGCCCTTATTATGGTTACTTACCCTCTTTCGGATACGTCAGAACTTCGAGCCTAGAAGTGTGTGAGTTTTCTACTTGCAGACACGAATAGACCCGAGTCTCCTCTATCTAGCGTTCTCGAGGATCACGACTATAGTTGCTTGCTACAGTAAAAGATCGTTGCTTGCGTATGACGAAGATTCTGTCGTAGAGTTCGCGGTTCAATAAATAGCCTAATTAATTATCACGATCAATCGATCAACCGATGTTCAGAAAGTAACAGTTCGATAAAATGGTAGATCAAATTGGGAGGGAATAAGAAACGCATTCGGACCATTTCTTTGGATACATACATACGTAGATCATTCGATGAATTTACACGAAGGAAAAAAGCAAAATCGCGGTAGTTGTTGAATAATTCGAATACGTATATTCGAGACACGAATCTTATCGTGTGGAAAGAAATTTTTTATTTCCTCCGCGTAGTGTAATTGAACTAGCGAATAGTGTGATACACGAGTTACGACGACGAGAATCGATGATAGTATACGCGTGCATTTCCATTATCGCACGGAGTTCTGAAGTAGTTTTACAAGAGACCGGCTCGCATTCGAGAAATGCGTTCCGGTTACACGGTAAGATAGATTATCGATCGACTTCACTCGAAATAGGTGATGAAACCTTAGGCTTAATCGGCCAGTTTTGATACGCCCGCCATTTCCGTCTCTGAAGATCCATTGACGAGTGAAATCGATCGTCGAGTTTCACTTCAAACACCTTTACAGTTCGAGTTCTCGAGCACTTTTAGAGTTAGACAATTGCATGCACGCGCACACAGTGGCGGTTGAAAGCACAAATAAAGAAAATTGCGGGGAAAGGTTATAATTACTCGTGATTTGGTAACGAATTTTCATATCTCGATGAACGGATAAACTCGGAAATATTACTATCCACGAAAAAGAAATAAATGCAATACAAAGTTAATCTTATCTTTAAATATAAAACAATTGGTATAATAAATTTGCACTCGGAAAAGTCGTATTACTCAAATTCATTAACTCGTCTTGACAGCTCTTCGTGAAGTTAGCACATATTTATTCACATTTCTATTTATTTATTTCTTCCTATCTTGTTAAATAATTTGCCCCTCAAAAAAAAAAAAATTGTTTGCGCGTCGACCAATAAACGCAAAGTAGAATGCAGAGTAAAGCAAATCGAAACGAAAAAGGCAAAAGCCTTTTCACTTTTCTTCTCTACAACGAAAGCGTACACGAGATATATCCTACCCTCTTCAACCCCTTCGCGCGAAGAAAGAGATCTGTCGAACGGAATTCCTTTTAAAAAATATTTCACGCCAAATCCACGACCGCCACTGTAACTCTTTCACACAATCGCAACGAAGAATCCGCTCCGATCGAACTACAGCTCCCTCGGCGCGGCTCTTCATGCTTTCAACTTTATTCCGGCTTTTCGTGTCATGTCAGAGGCATGTGGTCGCGGCAAAGCACGCGATACTTTAGCAAGAAAATCTCTGTCGCCAGGGTCACGAACAGGATCACGACGAGGGAGTCGTGGAAGCAGCGGGAACGCGTCGGCCGTTTCGTCGAAATCGAACAAGTCACCGCCAAATCAGCCCAGCAACATGACGGAGACAGTCCTGGAGAACGTCACCGTCGAAATACTCGAGGCCAAGGCGTAGGCCCGCTGGAGAACGGAAGTAACCCCTCCACGACCATCGTTGCACCGCCATTTTCTTCGACGACGGTCGCGTGGTCGCTTCTCGGTCGAAGGATCGTCCGGGTTCGCCTTCGAACCGACACTAAGCGATACTCTTCTTTCGAAACGTACAAATTCGACGCTACTTTTCTCCTTTTTATTATTCAAGAACAATTTCCGAAGATTCGCCCGTTCGCGTCTTACGTCTGCTGCTTCGGCACAAGATTTACTACGATCTACGCGAGTCTGCGTATCGCCTCTACTCTGGCCTCTACTTGGCCATCCTTTGTCGTCCACGGATAGAGGTTCGAAAGTGTGAAATCTTTGGGATGAAACTTAAAATGCGTGAAATCAGAGACGTTTAGTTTGAGAAAACCGAAGAATAAGATGATACTCCTCGTGCTCGAAGGATGGACGAGTTGAATTCGCAATTTTGATAAAGTTAGACAAAACTTATTTGCGGTATCGTTGTGGAAATAGTTTGATATTCGGCGTATTTTGCACACAGAAATGATAACGCGATGTATTCGAAGAATCCCATAGGTCGATTAGATTCTGTTGTATTTGGAAACGAAGAGAGGAAATCGCGTGAGGAGCGTACCTATTTTCTACGAGTAAAAGAGAAAAAGAAGCTCATGATTCGTTTACTTATTCGTCTACCGTGAGGCACCAATTTCTTCGCCATCGGTCTATTCGTTTGCTATAGACTCGCGTTACAGACGGGCCAACGAAATCTGGAGGCGAAACATAGCAGTGACGATGGAAGGTTTGTGTCTCCTTGTTGTCCAAGGAAACACGGAACCTTGTATCGATTCGATATGTTTTACTGGACCAAACGACAGCGTACATTTCGCCATTAATGGTCACTTTCGCTAAGAACCCATCGCTTCAAGCTAATCAATCTCTACGGGGCTAGAAAGAAATTCGTATTTTATAAACGACACTGTCGAACCAGTACACTCGACGCGTTGATCGATCTTTCTATATGTGCGAACAATCGTTTTAGACCTGCGCCAAACGGCGATCCATCGATGAACGCGGATCAACAATCAGTCAGAGAGATAATCCTCGAGTCCATCGCATTCTGTCTTTTACCTCTGCCATCTCGCCGTCTATTTTCAACGTTGCTACATCACTCTCCTCTAATTTCCAAATTTTTCGAATCGATCCATTTCCCAACGCGAGATTACACCGTGACATCACCGACTCCTCATTACGTTCGACGATCCATGATAGAACAGCAGACCCGCGAGATTTCGAATCGACCAGAGCTAAAAGACGGGACTCCGGTGTCCTAACTACGCTTTATCGTAGGTATTTCATATCGTCAGCTGGTCTGGTACAAAATCGATACGCGTTATTATCGTACGAAGGGATCGAGTAGGTGTCAGCTGCGGGAAACGCGAGTTATTATCGAGGATGAAGAAGATCGCCTGGGAGACATGTCAGGCAGATCCTTTCCGCGGGTACGTGTTCCCAGCACGATATCGACGACGAAGTACCTCGTAGGTCGTCCATGCCAGGAGAAGCCATTTTTCTGGTTTTTCTTTATCGAGAAGCCAACACGAATGGGACCAGACGAAGTGTGTTTGAACCGACATCGTGTGGGTAAACCAATTAAGCCGCGTGATAATTAAGCACACCTTCAGGCAGAGATCTATCTGTTTTGCGATAAACACGTTTAAAGTAAGGATTAACAAGAAGTCGTGCACGGCCACGTTACGTGTAACAGAGGACGAAAGGCACGTCTGTAGTTGCACCCCAAGCCACGGTCGTTTCTCATAGCCACGAGATTCGTAGGCGTTACACCGTTCACACACGATCGATCGTTCGTCCGACTTATCCTTATCCTTTATCGCTTCGAATCGAGTGTTCCACGAAGATTTACTTTCTGTCGCTTCTGCAAACTTCGCGAACGTTTCTCACACGACCCCGTATCTCTAGCAGGCTATCTACAGCGAAGCGCGAGCTTCGTTCGTTGCTCGAGAAGAAAGATCCCTCGTAGGTCAAACATACGCGTCCGACTGATCGAATTCGAGTCGCGTAAACCTTCGATTTGGAACTTGTTAGAAGAAACGTGGAAGAGAATGAGAGAGAACGAAAGGGAAAACGGACGAAATCGCCTCGAAGTAATTTCACCTTAGATGGAGCACCGACCAAATGCATCGTATATACGCGTTCATACGACCGTGTTGCCCTATTTGTTAATCGCACAAGACCTCGTTAACGAGGTGCTAACGATCTGACGAAGATCTTCACACTTTACACACGCATGGATCAGTATATTTAGACGTACACGTACACGTCGAAATCATCCTATTTTTCCTTTTCTCCTTCCCGAGTAAGTAACGATAATCATCGATAGTCCGGTACGATTGTATCTCAGCAATTTAGTGCCTGCGCTCTCGCGTACATAGCGTTTACGTAAAAATGAAAGAGATGAGATTAATTAAATATATATATACATATATATATATATACATATATATCTATATATATAGATACGTATATATATATATATATCAGTACAAGAAAAAAAATTATATATACATTGATACTAGGCTTGGCACTATTTGCACTATTTGTAGATTAATTTTTTGGAACGCCTAGCGACTGTATCCACTCTGTGATCTATGTGCAACGTACAGCTAACAAATTCTTCTTGCTAAACGTCATTGTTATAATTATTGTTATTATTATTAATTCTTGAACCATTTTACCGAAGGATAATTCATAGATATATTATATATAACGTGTAAGCGACTCGCTTAGTTATTATCGTCCCGCACCTAGTGTACTATCTATTCTGCACCCCTTGGCGATCCATTTGTATAGCACCCACGCCACGTAAATACGAAGTAAATTTAGAAACGTCTTTCTAACGATTACGCTATGTTAAAACGATCGTTCAACGATCACGAATTAATATATAACACCCGTTGCGCGGGGTCAAGCAAGATTTAATTAAACGTATGAGCATATAGTACATATGGTGTGTGTGCGTGTCTGTGATATCCGTGGAACTGGGTAATAGTTAGAGAAAGAAGACGAAGAGTATAAAAAAAAAAAAAAAAAAAAAAAAAAAAAAAAAAAAAAAAAAAAAAAAAATGTAAAACAAGAAGAAAGAATGGAGAATATAAGAGGAATGCAGGTACGTTCGTGAACGAGAGGAAGTGCAAATGACTATTAAAATAAGGGGTCTAAGGGGATAACGAGGAGGACCCGATCTGATCCGCAAACGAAATTCGGGGAAGGTTTCCGTTTTCGGATAGAACGTGTCCACTCCGGTGTTCCGTATTACATTAAGTAACGATACTCGATATATCGCGTTCATTGTATCCCGACAATTATTCATTGAAACAATCTTCGATTATAATATAGCACTGTGAAAAGTAATCGTTCGCTTGCAAGAGTTCTTAGAGGTTAACGTTCAACGCGGTTAGCGGAGTTTATGATGCTTCTACCTCTGAGTTAGTTTCCCTCCACCCTTACGATATCGTAGCACAAAGGATATTAACGAAGAAACAAGCAGGGTGCCTCGTCTTTATCACTCAAGGACACTCGCTCACTTTTGTAAGTCTCCTTATTGTCGTTTAGGCGGTGACAATATGGCCACCGTCATCGCGACACTTATACAGAGAACGTATTCCCTACGTAGAACGAAACAGTTCGAACTGTTGATATCAATAACGATACATCGATAATGATCCAAATACGGAACGTAGACAACTGTCGTCTCATCCTTCTTTTCTCGTTACATTCCTTTCTTCCTTCGTGTTTCATCTTAAAATATACGCGTGATCACGATGTGAACCGAACCGTGGTGATCGAAATCTAGGTTCGACGAATCATCGATGATTCACGGGTTTATTTCATAGCTGGTCGTTTGAACTCTGTTACAGCAAGAGATCTTCGTTCGTTCAGGTATATCCTTCTTAGAATTCGATAGAATTCGATAGGCGACTACATAAGCGACTTCGGGGCAGGGACACGAAAGTTGAATGTACAAAAGAACACAAATATAACGAGAAATAAACGTTCGGTATATACCGTCGATCATCGAGCAACAAATTCATAGTTCTTATCACGAAACGTGATTGTTCGAGAAGTTACTGCTCGCGATCTTGGACCGATGGTTAATCGGATAATCGTTGAAGATCGGGCAAACTGTTGTTCCCTGGTGCGTCAGTTTATAGAGACACGGAAGAACGTATCGGTAATCCAAATATGGGGAAGTGTTTGGATTACTCCTCGTTCCCGTGGTCCCAATTGTTCCGAGGGAATCGATTTTTCATGCCCAACCGTCAGTTCTGTACATGCACACAGGTTAAATGTAAACCATCCGAAGGTTAAAGTGACCACTTTTGATATCTTTGTGGAGTATTCGATGGACGACGCTGTTCTCTCCCTGCGTTCGTTGCGTTCAATAGAACAGGACACCTCGAAACCGGAAGACGCAACACGAATAAGAAACCAACAATTCTCGCTGACAACGATGGAACGTCCCGAAATCAAAATTAGACAATACCATGTCGATGCAGTCTAAATCAGGTGAACAGAAATCAAGATCGAGATGAAAGATCGTCGATCCGCGAGGAAACTATCTTCGTCAGTGCTTTATTATAATATATATCTTCCTTAGGAAACGATCTTTCAAGTACGACTTTCATGATTTTGTAAAATTTTCTTGCTACATTAACCTCGCCTACTGTAATCCTTTCGTATCCAGCACAAATTTATCTTGATTGTACGACAAACGATCGTCCAATGGATATCGTTAAGATCGAGTATCCACTCCCTCTAAACACTAGTAATATTACTATAAGCGAAGTATTATAATCACCGACACAGTCTGCTTTTAAGAGACGACGTAGGGTGTACGCACGTTTGAGCTTCTGTAGAATTATACTAAGGATCAGCATAGAAGTTTCGTCTGATCACATAATGTGCTTGAAATACAATAATCCGTCTCGTAATGTTCAACTACTACGATCGCTGGACGGTTCGCGATGAAATGTTGTGATTCGATTTAGAGTAAATAACGTAAAAAAGAAAAAAAATATTATACACTCATCTCGAAATATTTATATATATACAGACACCAAACACGATGTATTCGTAAACTATAGCTCTTGCTTCTCGATTTAAAGAAATAAAGTGGCGTAACGTTAAGATTAAGCTCTATACGATTACGTGCTACGTTATAAAACGTTAAGAGTATTTAAAGTACAGGATTTCTAGGCAGCAATTGGAATCTTACAGAGACATACCTTTTCAGAGATTATAAATACATAAATCGTTCGAAGCATATGTTAGATGAACTCACGCGAGGAACTTTGATTAGCGACTACATATAGAATTTCCTAGCTACTGCGCGTGGATGGGTGCGGGTAAAACGAGTATGCGAGTCTCTCATTTTTCAATTTTCAATATTTTATAATGTCCGGTATGTAACGAAAGTGGATATTGTTAAATTTTTGGCAATATACTACTCACACTATTTTACTAGTGGCTTAGCCTACCTTGTAACCTTTATATTATACATTTCATATTATAGCTTGTAACGGATAAATTAATAATCTATAACAATTGTATTTGAAACTTAATTATATTCTGACTCTTCGAATTCGTTTTAATAAAATCTTAATACACTGTATAAGTTGTTCCTCTTTTGAAAAATGGTGAAAAGATAAAAAATAATGACCACACATAGATTATTTTCCGTTTTTTTTTTCCTTTCTTCTTTTTTATACAAACAATATCCAGAATTTTATGACAATATAACAATATTCTGAATATAAGATAGTTTGAAAAGTACTTTGATAGTATAATACTTTCAAATATTTACAAAATCATAAATACTGTACATTAATTAGAATTAGTCTCATTTATAAGAATTTTTGGCTCTCCAATCAAGAAATTCGTCAAATTCGGTTTCATCACCGCTAGATACATCTTCATCTATATTTTTTTGTTTTCTATCAGTAGCTTGTACTTGTTCTTTACGTTTTACAAGATCCATTACCCTATCAAAATAATACTTAATTTAATCACTATGATCTGTATTATTTAATTAATTAAATTAATTATATTCAAAATTACCTAGACCAATGTCTTATTTGTTCTTCAATTTCATCTAACTGTCTTTCTGTTGTTGCTTCTTCTTGGTCATCAGCAATTATCTGTGCAGACTGTGCTGTTTCTTCTTTAATTTCTTTCTGAAATTTTTCCCATTCCTCTTCTATGGGATTCTTATATTCAACATTACGAACCTAAACATTAATAATTTGATATTAGTTTACTATACATGTAACACATACAATGTTCTTACTTTAGCATCTAAAATTGGATCATCAAAAAATCCTTCTGGAAGAGCTGGTTGATTTGTATCTTTGCTTCTTTCCTTTTCTTTTTCCTCTTCTGTTTCTATATTCTTTGAATCTTTTTCATGTACAAGTTCTTTGTCATTTTCAGTCTTTTCTGTTATTACAAGAGTATTTGATGATATTGTACCATTGACTTGTTTAGAAGGATTATCGAAGAAGTCTGATGGTAAATTCGATGGTATTTGTGTTGGTTGTGTAATAGAATTTTTTAATATACCCTTTATTTTTTTATTTGCTGATGATTCTTGTGAAGGAGATGTAGGTCTCTTAAATGTTTGAACTTTTGTAGTATCTGTTTCTAATTTTGTCTTTTTTGCTAATTGAATATTTTCCTTGTGAATTTTTGAATTTAAATGTACTGGCCAAACTGTGTCACTACGAATAAGAGTTTTGCATAAAATGCACATGAGTTGTCCTGCATCTGTATATGTGTTTACCATGGTTAAGGATTTTTCGAAAACTATAATTAATTTTTTTTAATCTCTAGAAAGTGATATATTTGCGAAACTGTATTCATTTCTCATGTTAAAAGAACAATATAATATAAAATAAATAATATAATAAAAATTCGTATAATATAAAAAAACTTAACCTTAAAACGTGTCAAATAGTAATAAAAAGGATATTTTGCTAGCGGCGATTCAATTTTTTTGACAACTCCTATTTTCTTCTTATGTTCACTCATAGCTTTACGCAAGTTATCTTGCGTTAATTTCCTTTTAAGCGACATTGTGAGAAATAAGTTATATTCTTGGATAACAAATGCAACTCTCAAGATTTAAGGTTATGTTTTGTATGCATCGTCTTATGCAACTTTAGCTCCTCTATCATCAAACTTTAAAAGTAATATCAGCTGGTATAATCCGAATAATTTATAATGTATGTATGCCGACAAGTTGCTTAAATATATTTAGAATGAATTAGATATATTTATAACTCTTTTTTATTGTAGTATTAGTAAATACTAGAGTATGTTTTCCGCTAATGGTTTTAGACTTAAATAAATATAATTTACATAGTTTTTAAACATTTCTTTGCTAAAATTTATTTGTTGTATTAAACTTTTTATATTCTTTTTATAATATTTCATATTAATATTGATTATTTTTTCATTTCCAATAATAAGATATAAGGTGGAAAATCGTGGAAAATCATGGAAAATGATACATGTGTCAATCATGATCCATTCATAATCCTTGGATCTTGTAAATCATGTCCCAAAGAATTGTCTCATGCAGAATTGTTGTCTATAATAATTAAATGTGTCAATTTTGCAGCAATAAAACATAAGGATCAAAGGAGGAAAGATGATAAAGAAACACCGTATATAAATCATCCAATAGGTTTGTAAACTTATAAAAATAATATTTCTTTTATAATTGTGCAATAAAATGAGAAATATGCCATTTTTATTTACATTTGTAAAACTATTTTTTAGGAGTAGCAAATATCTTGGTTCAAGAAGGTAATATTCATGATCCTATTGTAATTGTGGCAGCACTCTTACATGATACTGTAGAAGATACTGACACTACATTTGAGGAGATAGAAAATATATTTGGCACTGAGGTTTGTAACATTGTTAAAGAAGTAACTGATGATAAAAACTTACCAAAAGCAGAACGTAAAAGATTACAAATACAGAATGCGCTTAACAAAAGTCATAAAGCTAAATTGGTAACCTTGGCAGATAAATTATATAATTTAAGAGATATTCAAGAAAGTATACCAATTGGTTGGTCACAAAATAGAGTAAAAGAATACTTTAAGGTAATTGATAAATTCATAGAAATGAATATATAAATATTATCCAAACAAATAAGCACATAAAAGATATTAATTATAGTGGTCCAAAGCTGTGATTGATGGATGTCGTAAAACTAATTTTAATCTAGAAAGAGAGCTAGATCTAATATTTGCAGAGAGAGTGTCAGAAGATAAAGAAACTTGTACATGCAAAAAGCCATTGATATTATGATGTCTCTGTTTTAATAAAACAATAATTCTGAAATTAATTATTTCAAAATATAAAAATATATTTGCATTAAATATTACATAGTATTATATGATATTTATAAAGACAATGAATATTATCATTAAATATTTCCTTCACTAACATTGTATAAGTTATATAAAATACATAAAAGGCTTATACAGATCTTGTAACAATATTATATACCTCATACATATATATAAAGTATTTTTAAGAAAATAATATTTCCAGCAAGTTACATTGTAATTTTCTAATTTTTACAATATTTTTGATAAAACCACATCATATATTCTGCCAATTTTTCTGTCTCTTCTATAGTAATAGCATTGTATAATGACACTCGAATTCCACCCACTGTTCTGTAATTGAATATTACATTTAATACAGAATGTGATAGCATATATCAAATACCCTTTTTTCCAAGCTATACTGACCTGTGACCTTTTAACTGAAGCATTCCACGCGCACTCGCGCCAGATAAAAACTCTTTCTCAAGTTCCTCATTGTCTTTGCTTATTCTGAATGGTACATTCACTCTACTTCTCATATCCGATTTAACTGGACATGAATAGAAACCTTTTGACTCGTTGATTATATCATATATCTTTTGACTCTTTGCTATTGCTTGTTTCTCCATTCCTTCAATGCCACCATGTTCCTTGATCCATTTGAAAACTAAACCAACTGTATATATTCTAAAAATTAATACAAACGTTTTAATATGTATTATATCATTGTGAGATAGTTATTTCTATCAAAAGGGAGCCATCTGTGATTGGTTTAACTTTTTTCTTTAGGTATTTAGGATTATTTTATCATTAAACATATTTATCAAGAAACCTTACTGAAATACTGGTGGTGTATTGTGCAAAGAATTATCAGCTGCCATAATAGTGAAGTCTAATATTGTTGGACAAATTTTCATAGCATGACAGAGAACATCATCTTTCACTATAACAAGAGTCACACCAGCTGGACCAAAGTTTTTTTGAGCCCCAGCAAATATTACTGCAAACTGGACAATATGTTACAGCAAGTTTAATCAATAAATCATCATCATGTTTAACATTTGTCGAAATTAACGTTACGTACTTTCGAAATATCTAAAGATCTTGTAAGTAGATTAGATGACATATCAGCAACTAATGGTATGCCATTCGTTTCAGGTATATAATTAAACTCAATTCCTTAAATAATATTATTATTAATTCGATAATCCACAATTAGATTATTTTATTATTATTTACATACCGTGAACTGTTTCGTTAGCGCAATAGTAAACGTAAGATGCATTGGAATCTAAGTTCCAAGTAGATGGATCCGGAATTTCCGTATATTTCGTAATTTTTGGCAAAACTAAGTTCACATTGCCATACTTGGTTGCTTCTTTTGCTGCTTTAGCTGACCACGATCCTTAATAATTAAATTTATGATAAAATACAAGAAACAATCCACATTCATTTTTAAGTCTAGAAGCTTATGTACTTTATAATTTGGAAGAATGTTAAAAAATTTACCAGTTACTATGTAATCTGCAGTACCGGTTGTCATCATATTTAAAGGAACAGCTGCAAAAATCCCTGTACCACCACCTTGCATAAATAGAATTTTATAATTATCAGGGACATACCTGTAAAATTCAAATAGTTCGTTATTTTGTTTCAGGAGATGTGTACCAACATTATAAATCATTGATAGATGTTTTTTTAATAATAATCGAAACTCGTTAATGAAATCTGTTTCTCGATAAGAAATTGAGTTTTTTATATTTTATTATTACAACAACTTACAGTATTTCTCGTAATGTTGCTTGTGCATCTTCAATAACATTTTTGAAATCATTTGATCGATGACTCAATTCCAAAATGCTGATACGAGTATTGCTAAACGCAAGTAATTCTTTTTGTACATCTTTCAATACCTACAAAAAAAGAAAAGAAGAAATTGTTATTGATACGGTCGATATATTTAAGCAACTTAATACATAGTATTATGTGGTCGCAATAAAAATCTACAGAAACGTAAACAAAATAGTTAATCGTGTTTGTTAATTCGTCCGTAATATGTATTATATTAGTTTAATATTTATTCATGCTCGATTTTAATGATATCAAATAATATAACTACATAAACAAATTTAATATTTGCAAAAATTATTATATTTCAATTAAATAAAATGTTTCAATACTGTACAATAATAAATACGCGTAAGTAAGAATCTCTATCTCTATCTTAATCTCAATCTTAAACAAAAACATTTAAAAAGAATTATTTTTAAATATAAATTTAAATAAATCTATTGAATTAAAATAGAAAAGAAATATCTTGATTTTTTATAGATTGTGTTTCTATTCTTATTCCATTTCATCTTACTTTCTATATTTTAATATTCCTGATAATGTAACGTCTATATTATTTAAAAAATAAAAATAATGAGCTCGATTAAAAAATATAATTTCTTTGTGGTACCTGTTCCGGAAGTTTGGATGGTCCCGCACCAAAATTAATCACTTTGTTCTCCAAAATGTTGCTTTGATCGCACATTGTAAACTCTACTATTGCACTATGAGACTAATATAGAAAGACTAAACTGGATTCGATAGAGAAAAATATTTCCCCACTCCGTGTTACGTTATCTTCTTGTAAACAGTTTAAAAGTTTTTTATCATACTCGAATGATTTTCCTAATATTTATGGCCACTTTTTACAACCTTTCTGTACCTGTTGTATACCAAAAATTGTTGATTTCTAAACACTTTATACAATTATAGATCGTTATAAATCAATCCTTTTTCTTTTTCTTTGCATCACTTACTTTTAATTTCTCTTTAAACTTTCATTTCATTCGCAATCGCTTTATACAACTAATTGTACTAAATTCTTAAAATTTATTTTGATAAATATAAAAATCAACAAGTTATGTGACCAATACCGATCCCTGCAAATATTCGATATGTTATTTTATTCTACTTTGTATGTATGAAAACCTGTCAAACTGGTTCGCATAAGTGAAAAATGTGGATTGGTTGTTCATAATAATTTACTCACAGACGTTCTCTTTATCAAGCAACCGCGAAAATTGAATGATTTATTAAAACCAATACCAAGAAATTGATTCTCATTTTATAATATTTACCGTCACTAAAAATAATAATTTTGACAATTTTTGTAATTTCTTAATCACTTTAAAATATATAAAAATGATATTAATACAAATTAAAACAAAACTAATATGAAAATTGTTTTCAAACCAATAGGGACAACGTTATTTTGAATTCTCTAAAGATTTTATTCCTTTGATAAATATGAAGAAGTCCCCAGCAACGTTTTATCTTCCGATTATGAAAATGACCAATGCGATTGACCCATGACGCGTGATTCGTTTACCGGTTAAATCTAGATTTTGCAGTTATTAATTTAAAGTTAAGTATACAATTCCTCAGCAAAATTGCTTCTATCTATAGTTTTATCGTAAATGTCATTTGTTATAAAGTAGATAATTTCGAATGTCTCAATTTACCATAAATAATAAAATTCCTATTGGATATAATTCATTTTATACATTGTTTAATTATATATAATAATAGCACATTTTTTGAATTATAATAATTGTTTTATAAATTATTTAAAATAATCCAGTTCTAAAAATGTACATCGTAAAATGACTTTTTGATAATCAAATACGAAAATACGCATATCTGTATATATGTATTTTGGACTTACCATTTTTAACCCAATTTGCTTTGTTGAATATTTCATCAATTTAATTTTTAATTATATCATCATTTGTTTGTAGATATGACATAATCAAAAAAAGGCGCAATGTGACGTAAAAATATGAAAAAGTCCGGTATTATGTCAAGATATAATAATTAATGATTTATACTTAATTATAATACAAACCACTAAACATGGATTCATTTAAAACGTTTATGAACATTTTTGAAAGGGCAATAGCAGAAAGGAACAGCACAAATTTGTTAGAAATTTTAAGGAATAGTAAAAGATATTTTCAAAATATAGCAAAAGATGATAGTGGTATGTAATAAACAATATTACTATCTCATAACATTGCAATACAATATTCTTTTTATTTTCAATTTTTCTTTTAATTTTTACCTCTAGAACTGATGTTATCTATATTATTTGATAAAAACAAAGGCTTATTCTCTTTTCTTAATAATGAACTTAACAGATCAAACCCTCAAAAGGGTTTTGATATGGCAATTAAAGAAGCATTTCATCTACTTGAGTTTATCATGGAACAATTCTCTGATATATTTGTGTTATATGTAGTTGAAGCAAAGGTATCACATAAATGTTATATTATATACATTTAATTATATATCTTTTTACTTCATATACTAATACTTTATTTTGTTGTAGAATGTATGCCAGCAGGCACTTGTAACCCGTTGTTCATCATTTATTCAAAAAGCTGCATCCAATACTTTTAATACATTAATACAAGTTTTTAAAGAATTCGAGATTGAATTAGGTGAAACAGTAAAAAAATTTATTTCATTGTTTCATTTAGTTGATATTAAAGGTAGCGTCAAAATATACAATAAATTTATATTTATATTATATATAAATAACTTAATT